TAAATATGAAAATTACGTGGAATCCTTGCAATGTTGGCATGCCCTTGATTTTATAAATGCAACTACAAACATACATACACACAAGCACAAGTGAATTTATTTACTTTTCTTACAAGTATGTACACCAACTTTATATTTTATGTGGATAACTGCGTAGTTGTTAAATTATCAGTGCGTATGTGTTTGTGGGTGAGAGTGCGTTTTGATGGCTTAAAATGCCAAGCACGTTGCAATGTCGGAAGGACGTGTCGCATAGATACAAAATGTTTGCCAAAATGTGGGAATATTTATACAAATGTAAACAAATATACATGCATATGTATTTGCAAATAGTAGTTATATGTATTTATGTACTCATGTAGTATCTAAAGTAAAATCTCTAAGCCTTCAAGTAAATACTTTTAGTGAAGTGCGAAAGTTTTCAGTTTAAAATCTACTGTAAGTACGAAGTTCAGCACGTAGAGCTTACCTTCAAAAGAATTTTTGAAGAATAAGCTAAACCCGTATCTTTGTAACAAACATCCTAGTTTAATCGTTGAAATTGTATTTCTATTGTTCCTTTCAAATTTAGGCGTTATTTTATGATTATCTACACCGCGCGGCAGTAAATTTTACACACAAAAAAATGAATATATTCGCGAAACTATGGGTAAATTATAGTAAAACTGCATACTTAGTTTTTCCCTTTCTCGTCAGGCTTTTTTTTTTTAAAAACTTTGAAATGAAAAAAATATGATTATTTAAAAAAAAATATTTAAATAATTCAGTGCTGTTTAGGATAAAAATAAGGGTATCATTTAAAAGAAAAAATTCTGTAGAATTACAACAAAATTAGCTTTTTGGTGCATAAGGACGAATGGGTACGGAACATGTCCTTTACAAATTGTGTCCTTAAATATTGTTAAAAATTTTAATTTTTTTTTTTTTTATTATAAATTTCGTCCGGCAAACTTTACTAACTCAAAAAGATTAAATTTATTAAAAGCGCATTTTCAAAACCTATTCGTCCTTGTAAATATTTCATTAAATTTAATGTAGCCATAAATATATTTTACTAGTGCGGATTTAACCTAAAAATGATAAGAGGGCATTAAGTGCCACCTGATTGAAATAATAATGCTTTTATTACTGTGTTTTCTTCGTATGTTAATTTTAGCAAGTAGATTTTCGCCTGAAGAATGTTCGCGAATTCCCACATACGCGTCAACCTTTACAACCAGGGACCGTAACAATTACATCTTTTATTAAAAAAATCGCTCTTTAACTAAAATTGTTTGCCTTTTATTTAATTTTTCATTAAATAACAGTTTTTCTGACTTTTATTTTATAAATCAAATATAGGAATTATTTTTGATTTGTATATAAATAATCTGCAATTAACAGTTAGTTTTTCATTTTTAAATTATATGTCTTAGATAACAGTTATTGTAGACTTTTATTTATAAAAGTCATCAACATAAATCAGTCACTGACTTTTATTTCTAAAACCATACTTATAAGAGTCATTTGTATAAGTCTTAGTAAACTTTGGTTCTCCAACATCATTTTAATTGCGAAAAATGATAATAACTTTTGCACATATGACTTGACAAAATAAAAGTCGGTGACTGATTTTCATTAATGACTTTTATAAATAAAAGTCTTCAATAACTGTTATCTAAGAAATATAATATAAAAATCAAAAATAACAGTTATTTACATATTATCTAGATAAAAACTAAAAATAATTGTTATTTTGGATTTATATAATAAAAATCAAAAATAATTGTTATTTTTTTTTAATTTTGCATAAAAATTACAAACAAAAATTTATTTTCAAATTTGATTCTCAGTGAAAAAAGAAATCGACTGGTATGCATCACTTAGTTGTAGAACATTTCTTTCCTAGTGAATTTTTCAATCACAGTTTTCATCAATAACTGTTATGTTCGATGCCTGTTTATAACTATATTTTTAATATTTAATCGAACAACATGGTCTGCTCTATGACTAGGTGAAAGGGTTCCAGATTATAGAATCACCATCAGCATCGCTGTTTGTGATCTGTGCATTGCTTCTGTAATATAAACACATTCTATACGTTTGAGCTTAGCAAACGACTGCCTCAGTGTGGCTAAATAAGAGAGGCCAAAGCCACTGCTGCGTAGTCCACTATTGCCATGTATAGTTTACATTCGTATCGGTTATGTGTACTAAGTTGTAAGTTGTCGTCTTAGATAGAAGTTGTCGTCGAAGGGACCGCCGAATTTGAACCGCTCAGCCGGTATGCCGTCAATTCCGGGGCTTTAACGTTTTTAATCGCCTTTATTGTTCCTATCACCTAATCTTGGCCGATTATTGCCCTCAGTGTCATCCCTCACACATCGAGATGTGCTTTCTTTACTCTCTCTGTATGTCTGCTACCATATTTTAAGTACTTCAAAAATTAATAAAAGGTCAATTTACCACCAAAGCGAAAGGAAAATGTATTCTAATTTACTTCACTTTTGGCATTTGTGGATCTTAAAATGACAAATTGTTATTCGATTGGCATTGTTGAAGTGTTTCTGGTTATATATTGTATCAAATTGGAATTTGTTTGCTTACTTAATAGCTATGTCAACTAAGAATTTATGCAGAACTTAACAGCAATTCATATATGCATATGTATGTACGTACACTAAATAGGCCGACGAAGTCAATAATTTTTTTAATGGAAATAAGCATAAAAAACCTGAAAACAAAAATTTGCTTCCTTGAGTTCAATGACTTCAACGCGTGTTTAGAGATGTTTAGAAAAAGGAATGCTCTCTATGCTTGCGCCTCCCAATACATATATGTACATTAGGGTGAATCAATTTGTATGCGAAACTTTTTCGACTATGCGCGTATAGCAGAGAAGGATTCTACTTGTAATTCTAAACAAATTTGCCGAAGACGCCATGGGTCTAAAATCAATTTTGAGTTTCCCAAATGGCGAAAAGAGGTCTCGAAGAAAATGTGAAAATTTGCACTGTTGCGTTCTCTGATGAAAGTTTTAAGAAAAAGGTAAGCGCAGAAATGGATTCCTCTATATTCCACTATACAAAAGTTAAGCACTTCGCAATTTGGCAAACTCTAAATGGATTTAAGATCCAAGGTTTCTTCGGCAAATTTGCCTGGAATTACACTTAGAACCCTTCGGTGCTATACGCGCATAGTCGAAAAAAGTTTCCAACACTAATTGATCCACCCTAATGTGCATATATGTATTGGGAGGTGCAAGCATAGAGAGCATTATTTTTCTAAACATCTCTAAACACGCGTTGAAGTCATTGAACTCAAGGAAGCAAATTTTTGTTGCCACGATTTTTATGCTTATTTCCATTTAAAAAAATTATTGGCTTCGTCAGCATCATCAATCAACGAATATGGTATATGGCTTGACATGGCACACAACTACAGCAGAAATTACATAAACAAATACATGTACATATGTACATAATTTTTGAATTGGAGGAAATATAAGATGGCTTGGTTGAACATAATTCACATGACTTACATTTGTATTTGTTCAAGTCAAATGGCATAGAAATAATGCAACAGGCGAAGTGATCAGAAAGTTTGCCTTAATGTAAAACTGACAAGAATAGCTTTCATTTAATTGAAATTTAAATACCCAAATCACTTATATTCTTTCTATTCCATGTCCCATTCTGCCTGAGCTGCACTCCTTCCTTAAAGTTCAGTAAATTAATAGCCGCGTTTGCCAGTCCATTGGCCCCGTGGCGAACATGCAGGAAAGATGGGCCTTCCATAAAACCCTCGGTGCCATAGTTGTAACCCCAAATGTAGTAGGGAAACTTTCTTAGATTATCTTTGCCAATGGCACGCAAAATAAATGAGACACTACACAAATTCTTTATGCAAAAACCAAAGGAGATTTTTAAGTGCCCCATTACTAAAATAAGCAAATTCATAGTACAAATGGTTTGAAGATATCAACGAATCGGGGCAGCAGAAAACAGCGCTAATTGTATCCTGAGCCATAGCTCAGTCAACGTTGCTACCAACCAATCAAGCAACCAACGTCTGCATGGAGACCATGAGACGAATAACTTTTGCCAGCAGATGCTACTTTGGGCTCGCTAAACAGAGCCCCCGTCCCATTCGACCCATGGCTGAAAAATGAATGTAAGAATGTCCACAAACACAATAGAGGGACCAAGTGCAGAATGACCTCAATACGCTTCTTTTGAGTATAATTTAAGATTCAAAAATGCAGTGAACAGATTTTGTAGTTGTTACGCAAATAGTTTCAGCTAAAAATTCACACAACTATTTTAACCCTCTCATGCCTGATATTTCCTATAAGCAACATTGAAATTTTGGTTTATAAATCTCGTCGTTTGAAATACTTTTTTTTAAGGTTTGTTTTGTATGCCACTGTGGAGGCAAATGATTATGCGCATTTTTTATTCGCTACTCACTCAAATGTTTCTTTTTTTGTTAGTCAACTCTTACAACTACGTTTATGTATGTATATGTCCAATTTCTTCCATTTAGCGGGAATATCAAGTTTTATCCTTTTGTTCTTGGAATTCTTGAAGGGCATTTTGTTATCTTGCATGGCCGGTAACAGCGTTATGTTACCAAGAACTAAAGTTATCCTTTCTTATACTATTAGTTAGTACAAGTAGCGTTGTTTTTGTTTTTATTTTACATAAACGCCTTTTTGCTATTCCTCCATTGTTAAACTGCAGCAGTTCACAGGCAAATCGTTTTGAAGCGGACAGGTAAAAATACGAAGAAAGTTGAAATCACCTATAATATGTATCAGCACCGTTATCCCAAGTAGATATGCACATTAAAACTAAGCCATTCCGCAAGTTGCTAGATAGATCGGTAGGTAAGAATAGGGTAAGTTCTGCGCACAGTAGGTATATTGTGCCCAACCGCGATATGCTATAAAAGCACCTTTGCTAAATTGACCTGCAGCGATAAAACACTTGGACGACGGCAAGGAAATTTGATTCGAAGCAATGAACACAAGCGCAAGAGATAAGTTAAGTTCATCATCCAGAACGAGGTCACAGCTGGATTTGAAGGTCAAATACAATTACGGCGATAAACCAATAATGTCAGCAGCCATATTCACATCGTCAACGTCAACAGTTGCCACAGAACAACCCCTAATGTCATTTGTTTTGGAAAATTTCGCAAAAACCTTAAAAGAGAAGCGAGCGCCAACAGCATTCACTCGCGATCAACTAACGATACTGGAGCAAGAATTTCACGCCAATAGCTTTTTAACGCGTGAACGTGCCGCAGCAATCGCTGTGCGTTTAAATGTGTTAGAAATGCGAATTTCGGACTGGTTTGAGAAACGAAGAGAAATAGCTGAAAATATTCGAGCTGAAAGGAGTCGCTTCAAACAAAATAAAAATAAAGTTTCGGAGGAAGCTGAAAGTGATGAGTGGAAACAATCTGGAGAGTCAAGAAACCACTTTTGAATTTGATATCGAAACATTATTATCAGCGGTCGTCGAATTTTGCAGTAAATCTAAGTTAATGTGGAATAAAAAACGAAATGATTGACATACTTTGATTGATGTTTTATACTTTCTGGCAGCTTTTTGTTGTATTTAGTTTTTAAAGAACTTAAATTCAAAGTGAAGTCTAAATAGGAATACTAAAACCATTCAAAAATAATTTTAAAAAGTGTTTAAAAAGTTAAACTCATTGGTCATTTTTAAATAGACATTTATAAAGCGAACTCCAACGGATCCTTAAACCGCATATGCAAGACTCCACGCAGCCAAAAGAACGATAATACCCTATTACACTCCACCCGGCTCATTACGACAAATAATGCAGCGTTTTTTCTAACATTTTATTCTTTTCATATGATAAATGAATACAGCAATGACGACACTAACCGTATTGCCACACGCCGTTTTTACACAAATTTTCGCCACAAAGTGCAAATTTACATACATACTTATGTATGTTTATTCAAGGAAATGTATTTAAAATTTAGGTCAAGAAAATATATCAAAAATAATAAAAGTGATTCATGGGAATTGAATAAAAATCAGCCCACCACAAGATAGAATATGCTAGGAAAAATACCGGCATAAGCCCCAATAATGCTTCCACGCACATGACCGCATCTGCAGTATGTATGTATGTGTGTATATTAAATAAACATATACATAAATTTGTGCTTAACATTTGATTGCTTTGCAAATTTTTTATGATAAACATCATTGAATAAAGTGCTTCGACACGTGTTTTACGCAAAAACATGCTAAAGTGAAATATTCTAGAGGACAAAAATCTCCCCTGAAACGAATGTTTCGTAAGTAAATAAAAACAAATTTTCAATACCGTTCAATAAATAGCAAGAACATTTAGTTTGTATGTGTGTGTGTGTATTTAGACAGCTTTCCTAGCATCCTTTACGCTTTACCTACCTTAGATTTGTGGCCTTAGTGTGTGGCGGATATCTGCCAACGCACCAGCAATATTTCAATGAAATGATTTATTGAGCGACTACTAATCTACTTTGCCCACCGTTGGCACAGCGCAGAGCCACTGTGGATCCCACGCAAACCTTTAACCGTAACCGCAGCAGCAGCAGCAGCAGCTTAACAATGCGTGGACCAGAAATAAAGCGACTGACCTACATTTTTCCAGCTGCCATTGTTGCGTAGAAACATATGTATGTAGAACTAGAAACAGGAAAAGAAACAAATCACTAAATCAAATCGAAAACAGAAAAAAAAGAAAACAAAAAAAAACAGCAATACAAATCTAGAGAATCAGTTCAATGCTATGTTGAGGCATTACTGAGACTGCCGAGTTTTGCCTAAGGCCATACAGTTTTCGTATATTTTTTTTTCTTTTGTTCACTTTTGCTTTCCGTTGTAATTCTTGCTTTTCGACTAGTTTGTCTTCCTATTCGCTTCAGTTTTTTCTTTGTGATTTCACTGTTGTTATGCCTAACTATTGTAGACGTATTTCTCATTGGCGGAAGCAAATCAAACTGACATTCGCACACTGAAAGGCAGGTAAAAACAATAAATTCGCACACAGACAAGACAATTAGAGATCAGCAAATTGTCTCAAAATGGGACAAGAAAATAGCACAGCTTTAATGCGGGTTAGCTTTCCAACAGATATATGTACATACATACGTAAAAAAAAGAAACTTAAGATGGCACATTAAAGCTGAGACAAGCTGCGCTGAACTGACTGATGCGGCAGTCGAAATTCTACCCTTGCCGCTGTGATACCACCAGCATGTGAAATAGCTACGGTGACCAGATTTATGTGCACCAAAATCGGGACACTTCTAAATCATCGAATCCTGTTTTTAGAATAAAAGGACATAACATCTTTTAATACAGATTTAAGTAAAACAAAACAAAGAGAAAAAAAACTTTAATAGTGATCTCAAAAATATATACACACAAAAAAATAAAGCTTTCTAATGTCCAAAAAAAACCTGTAAAACAAGATTCCAAACTTTGTAGAACATTTACAAAAATTCGACAAATTTCGAAAAATGGTGATCAAAATTTGAAACTTTTTAATCAGATTTTTAGATTTTTTTTTAGCACGAAATTTTGTAGCCCATCAAATTTTAGTATAACAAAGTGCAAGTTTGAAGTAGCGTAGACTTACCGTTGATTTTTGGCAATTCTTTGTTCGCGCATTTTCTTCCACACAAAGTATGTTCGGCATTTTTTTTTTTTTGTATGGGGAAAATGGCCAACACCTTCCACAAAAAAACTTGATTTTACTAGAATTGAATGGGCTACAAAATTGCGCACTCAGAAACTTTCTAAGAAATATATATAAAAAGCTAAAAATTTGTATAAAACTTAGTTGAATTTCGGTAATTTTTGTACAAAGTTTAATTTAAATGCTTTTTGTTATATAACGAGCTACACTTTCATAAAAAAATAATAAACATAAAATAATCAAAAGGAGAATGGCCAAGGAATGCTAAAATGTCCCCTCCCTATTTATATTTTCGCCATTGTATCAACAGCTTATATTTTTTTTTTTTATAATTTCACTAAATCCAAGTTAGAATCGTTTCATTAACAAAAAAAACCTAACAAAAATATATAAAAACCTTACCAAAAATTGACAGAATAAAACATTATCAAATTTCATAGAAAATAAGGATGCTGGCTATGTCTGTGGCTCCCCTATATGTATTCTATGTTCTTTGTGATAACGAAAGTGTTGCCATATTTCCATGAAAATTTGTTTTTAGACCAGAGTACAGGAAGACTCTGGTTAAATAAATAAATGAAGCACTGAAAATCGGGACTTAATCGGTAAAAATACGAAAAATCGGGACCCTTATATGTCCCGACTTTTAAAAAACCGCGACCAAATTTTCTCAAAATTGGTACTGTCCCGCCAAAATCGGTACGAATGGTCACCGTAGACATAGCACATACTTAGATATGAACATAACCATCAAGTTGCCAGCAGCAGCAAGCACCACCGCTGAAAGCACAAAGAAAAAGTGAAATCGAATAAACAGATAAAGGCGATGATCTGGCAAAGGTGTAGCTAGCCAGACAGCAAGTGACAGGAGTTTGAGTGCGGAAATTGCCTATTTGTACGGGAACTTTGTTACTTATAATGGGCTGTCTTGGTTAGCTGGAAGTCAAAACAAAACATTTGCCAACATAACCGCCCAGCTAAGTTGGCAGTATGTTGTTGGGCAGCGGGGTTTTCTATAGGTTAATACAATCACTTGATGGCATGGAGGGAGGGGACCTTTTAAAGTTTATTAACTTTATGAACACAGGAAAAACAAAATACGGAAAGGTATACTTCCAAAAAATTTAGCATCCAATAAATGTGTAAAAAAATATTTGGCGCAAACGCTTCTGCTAAGTGCGTGGCAGAGCTTCTTCTCCAATTTTTGGTGTGCGACTTGACGTTGTTACACAAATTGTGGGATTTACAGTTTTATGCCGACTCCGAACTGCAGTTGGTTTTCATGAGAAGCCTTTTCACTACTGGTTGGTTTTCCCGTACCAGAGTTGTCAAGTATTTAAAAATACATACTTTTTATTAAAAAATATTTTTTAACAAGACTATTTTGTATCTGTATTTTAAATATTTTTCTATGCAGTATTTGTATTTTGTTTATTTAAACACTTATTCTACTCTTCATTATTCGTCATATGTGACACGTAAAGTTAAAAGGGACCTACGGTCAGAAAAAAAGATTTCGAGAAAAACGACTTTGAAGTTAACCAAGCTGATTTTGATGCTTGTGAACGTTTTAATGGATTGAAACTCGTTACTCGGGGGTTTTCGGGGTCTCTGCCATTAGTTTTTTGACGTTTGAAAATTCTCATTCAGATTACCAAAAATGTAAAAGCGTCATTGAAACAAATAACGAATTTTTGAGTTTCTTGTTAGTGGCGTCCTATTGTAAATATGCACGTGTAATTGCAAAAGTATTTTCAAATGTATTTGTACTTTCGAAATATGTATTTTGCATTTTGAATTGAAATACATTTTGTTAAAGTAGTTTGAATTTTATTTTCAAAAACTATTTGTGCGACGTATTTGTATTTTGTATTTAAATATTATTTTACAGACATTTTTAGCACCTCTGGCCCTTACCTGCCGAGAGGGAACCGCTGCACAGTGTTTCGATTTTATGGAGGCAGGAGGAAAAAAGTCATGGCGACAGTTGATAAAACAAACCTGTGGGAAAAGTAAAAGTCATAAATATAAAATTTCACGTCATTTACTCACCCCCACCCCTCCCAATAAGGCACTTACACCCATGCATAATCATATCTACACAACTGCAGGCGAAAAAGTTACGTATACGCGACGACATACCCTATGTAGCTACAAGTTTGGAACTGCATATATTCTGTTTTGATATGTCTACCGGGTTCGGATATATGTATGTACATGAGGGTGCCTCACTGTTAAAAAATTGGTTGTGCTTTTCCATTTGAATTATAAAATTTATTATATCTTGCGAATTTTTCCAAAATATTTCGGAAAAATATTGAGATTAACGTGAGCTCCAAAAATCGTGAGCAACCCATGTGCGAGATGCGGTAACCAATTCGAGTGGAGCACTGGGTCACGGTAGAAAGAGAGGGAGCTTTGGTGGGGCCACTCTGACTTATTCGGTTTAAGGGCTCACAGAAGTCTTCAGCGTATGTTCACCAGTAGGTGCGGCTGCAAGCAGGTGTCTGCCTTGGAGCAAGTAGCTCGCTATATAAACGTCTATTTGGTTGCGAAACCACCTCCATCCCAGCAATGGGTTGTGCGCTGGGTTCGGGACCCGCCACGTAAAAACCCCTTCCAGTGAAGAGGCGAAGCAATGCCCTACCCATATGAGCAAGCCACCGATATATCAATGAATCATCAACAAACTCATTGGGCTTTATAAGTGTGACCTTAGACTTGGTAAATCCATGATAGACCAGGTATTTATTAGACGCTAAAT